TTCATTCCAAGCCCTTTCTTCGCTTCAGCTTCTTCCTGAACTGGATAACCGGTTTAATCCATACTTCAATTTCAGTTTCGGAGTTTGGGTTTCGCGGTAAAAGCATCTTTTTCCTCATATCTATAGCCAACAGGGACCTCAGAGCCCGCCTGGATGAGGAGCAGAAGAGTAAGGGATCTTTTCGTGCCCCAACTTTGGATAACATTGCTAGAATTGCCTCCCTTAATTTCTCGACTTGCCACTGATGCCTCCTAAATAACACCATACTTAGAAAAACTTTTGTAATTCTATCAAGTCATCTTAGTTATTCGACCTGCCACTTTGGTCATCCCAAAGCGGCTCCATATTTGGACATGATTTCGTCGTTTGTGTTGTGTGTTGAACCTTTCACTGAGGTCATCAAATCTTCCGTTTTGAAACATGGTAATTGTGCCAACTCCAATTAAAGCGTATTGTTCGTTCATTGATTCGTGCCTCCCACCTTTGGGGTCGACCAACCAACTCGTAAGGCCTTAGTCATATTGGATTTTCGAACACGCGATCCTCCTTTGGGGTCAACAAGTTAGCCCAGAGACCTTAATCATGTTGAGTTTTTTATTCTTCTGCCAACCCACCTATTATGGTCGACCAGCTAGCCTGGAGGCCTTAGTCATGAAAGGTTTTTGAACACGAGCACGACCCTCCTCTAGGATCGATCAACCAGCCCGAATGCTTTAATCATGCTGGATTTTTTTATCTTCGACACTATGTCCGACCCTCCTCTAGGATCAAAGGTTGCTCGATCTTCATGTCTTTGCACCAAGCTCGAATCCTTTTTCGTTGAACTGGGTCCAATTGTTAGACACCAAAACCATGGGCACTCCAAACCCACACAATCAATATTTTTATATAGGAACCCTACGGTGTCTACTATGATCCTAGCTATGGGCTCGGCCTCCACCCACATAGTAATATAATCAACTACTACGATGAAAAATTTCCCATGACTTGTCGCCTGGGGTAGAGGCCTAACCAGGTCGATACAACATTGAGCGAATGGAATGGGTGAGGTCATCTTTTAGGTTGGCTCGGGCTAGTTGTCTATGGGGTTAGTCCTCCTAATTAGATTCATCCGATACTGTTTTATTCGGCTATTTAACTGCTTTCTAGTATGCACATTACGTGTTTTTCTGTTATTAAAGTCTATTGTTTAAAAAAAAATGACGTGTCATGATCATTCATCTCTAGAAATTAAACTGTCAATCATGGTAACCATTCAGCTAACAAACTGTTCGGTTTATTAGGTACTTAAGGAAAAAATAAATATAGAAATAAATTATTGAAAAAATAAAATCACATGTCATAGTAATTCATTAACATCAGATTAATATATAGTATCAAATAATATTTGTGATGGCATTTACATACCTGTTTAGTACCTCACGCTACGCCAACTGCCCATAACCTATTTTATTATCTGATGCTTATAATCTTGAAATTAATACCACGATTGTGGATCGATGATATCATTTTTTTTATTGTATGCAATGGTAAAGGAGTTTATTGCAACACAATTAAAATAGAATTCTATTAGTACGTAACTAAGAAAATTACATAATTCAGGAAATATATATATAAAAGAAAATTATAAAGGAAAATTATTATTCTCCCACTAATTATTAATTCAGCAAATTCTTAAATATTTTGGAAAATGGTTCACGAATTTAATTAAGATGATTGAATTTGACGGTTTTACTACGAAACCAACAATTGACTATATAGTGAAGCCAACCTTTTATATACAATAACTAAATTATACCATATTAATAAAATTATATTATTGTTATTGAAATAATCAGGGAATATGATAAGTTTTACTTGTTGTATATAGAAGGTTGACTCCACTATAGAACCAACTGTTGGCTTCATAGCAAAACCGTTTATTTAGAATCCAACAAAAGAAAAGATACATGATATCCATTATACTTACGAGGTTGGGCTATACGTACCTACCTATTTCGGGCACTTTATGATGCAAAATAACTGTAATAAAACGTCTAGAGTTGATTCTCGAGTTTTTTTCTAAAACAAGTAAATTTTTTGGTGGTCATAAGACTTATGGTTATATGTTTTGTTGATAATATTACGTAAGACACAGAAATATTAAATGAGTTATTTTTACAGGTTTTGTCTGTTTAAATCTAAAAAAAATAAGATTATAATCTATTTTTCACTTCTCCTAATCAACGTTGGTCTAAAAAACAATATGGTTATAATTTATTATACACATCTTTTAATCATCGCTGTTTTTTTTTTAGCAAGAACATTCAATATGAGCATATTAGGCTAGCTTGTAAAATAATTGATATATTAATCTTACTCACACATTTATACTAATATAAATTTGATTTTAGTATATATATTTATTCCTTGATATAAGAGAAAGTAAAAATTTTACTCATTCTTGTGCACTATAATACTTAATTATTATTTTATTATAAACTTTGTTGTCATATAATATCATTATTATTTATAAAACTTATAGAAGTTGTACGTTTTTTTTTTCTTTTTTTATGTAATAAAAAATATTTAATACACGTAGTATTTTTATTTATGTAATTCATTTAAAATATGTATATAAATTTAAAATTAAATAGTATATAAATATTTTACAAAATATATCCAATATGTTTTTTTTAGAATTTAGTTTTGTATACTAATTAAACAAATTTGATTTAGAAAATGCCAAACACTCATTCTCTTCTATAATCAAGATTTTTCTAATTCATATTATAAGAATTTATAGTTTATTTAGCATACTCTGCAATGAAAATATATTTTGCAAGAAAATAAAAAATTAATAACAAAAAATAATCACAGTTGCCAATATTATACAAATAAATTCTAAGTAGAATTTAATATATTATAATTTTAATTTTTGAAAATTACTAAAACTATTTTTTATGTTTTATATATGACAAAATGAAGGTTAAGAAAAAATTATATTGGGAAAGATTCATTCACCAACTTGATTTCATCTGATTAATTGGAAGAAAAAATTCTACTTAACCACCTATTACGACTTTCTATAAATATTTTGGATAAAAAGTAAATATTTGTGGAAAAATTAATATTATGGTTAGAACTTAAATATGTTGTAATATTTATCTTGACCAAATTATTATCAACATGAATTACGGAAAATCAATCTTGTAATTTATTATAATGGATATTAATAAAATTATTGAAGGAAACAAATTTTTTAATCATATCTGATTTTATCTTATTTTAAAACGTGTATATGAAAACAATTAATGCATATATTTAAAAAGTTTCCAAAAAAATTATGCATCAAAGGCTCCCAAAAATTTTTTACTATTATTTTTAGTAAATGGTTATTCTTATTATAGGGAAATGCTACGGTCCTTTTATAGAACCATTCCGTCGGGGTTTGTAACCGTTAGATCATCATGTATCGGGGATAGTTGATCTAACGGTTACAGACCCTGAAAGAATAATTCCGTAACGAGACCAGAACATCTCCCAACTGATAATATAGATGAGATGTATCTCTGCCCATCAACGTACATACATTCGTATATTCTAATGCAAATTAACTATAGCTACTCTCTTGTACGTAACTCTCTCTCTCTCTCTCTCTCTCTCTC